GACCGGTGGTAGTATATACCTGCGAAACATGGCCAGTGAGGAAGGTAGACATCCTATCGCTTGAACTCTTTGACCGTTGGTGTTTTCGACGCCTCTTAAGAGTCTTCTGTCAGGATCGAATTTTCAATTTCGACCTATATCGCAGATGTTTCAAACTACTAAGTCTAGCATGATACATCCAGCATCGCCGCTTGTAATGGTTTGGCAATGTCCTGCGCAAAGCTTCGACGTCCTCTGCAGATTGGTCGTGAACACCTCTCGTAGTGGAAACTGGAGATACCGACCTGGCGGTCAACTGAAGACATGACTCAACACCGTCAAGTCGAACGTCGAACGGATGGGCCTCATAACCGTTTACGGCTTGCGACACTGGAACAAACAGTGGGTTAACATTTGCGAAAAGTTCGCTTCTGATCGCCGCCAATTGGCCGCCGCTATCCGTGACATCCGTGAAGCCGATTCATCCAACAACAGGAGCTAATCGAATCAAGTACAAGCAAGTACTGCCAAACTCAAGGTCATTTCGGTAAAAACTCTATACGAGGCGCATATTGCACGGCTTCGCTCTAAGAGGGGACACCAAGCAGGCGACAAACCACCCGGTAATGCTTAATTGCTGCGAGTGATAACTAGCCTAACAGGAGACACTATACTGGTACATTAGCATCGATATCTCATGAAATGCTAATCTTGATTCTAAAATGTGCTTTGGGTTCGAAAAAAGAAAATTTACGTGATTAGGGTTGTAATACTGCCTATGATGCACCATATTTCAGTCACGCTGGGATGCCGGCTTTGAGGTAGCATCTGCCCGGCGGCGTGCAAAAACTGAACTCCGAAAAAATTGCTACTTAAGTGGTATAATCTTTCCTGTTTATTTTAGTGCTTATGTAAGTCCGAATTTATTGTTTTTTTCATGCATAAAAACTCTCTTTCTTGCAGTTTTTTGGCAGTAAATTGGCCCTTCATTAACTTCTACACTTGAAAAAGACCATTTCAGCTTTTAGAAAGTTTCTAATGATGGAAATTTTGCGACTGTGAAACATCCCCTCATTGTATCTGTTGCCCATGTATTCATGCTGCTCATAAATTACAGAATACGTTCCACATGCACTATAAAATTTTATGAACACTATGCAACGTCTTCCTAATAGCATAGAGCAACGTTTAATTTTTCATGGACGTAAGATCTACAAGATACAGTTTGGAAAACCTCGGTGCAAGTGTAATAGTGGGTTGAGTACTACATTATTCAGCAATTGTAAACTTCTCTTTAGACCCAAACGATACTCTTTTAAGTATAACGGAGCCCCGGTTAACGAGTTCATCACGCGAAACGCTCGTATTGTGAGACACAGCCAATCAAACTGCATCAGTTCACTAATTGGCTGCAGGCGACCGAGGACCCATGCCCCGGAGAGCAAGAGTCAACGGTAGACACAGGCACACACACACGCGCACTGACGACTCGCTAAATGAGCGGAGGCTCGTCAATCGAAACAACTATTTGCGAGTGGCTCGCTAATTACCTAAAGTACTCACAAATGGGACGGCCCATCACCCGAGGCTCCACTGTATAACACTTGGTGGGGACGACGTCTTTTGCGCATTTTTCCCCCTATAAAATATGTTCGAATCTATAAGAATATCGAAAAGTAACGATGGAAATGCAAATCACTCAAGTGGACATTCAACACCGGCTATTTTTCAATCGGGAGTTGAGACAGAAGCATCTGTGCGAGTTACGGAGTCATACGGGACATTTTGTGAATTGTAGCGTGGTGCAAAAATGTCGCCGTTTGCTTTTCAAAAAATGTGGGCTACCCGAAAGCACTTCCTGTATGTCCGGTGCCCGGACACGGCCTATGAGCGCAAGTTAAACGGGAACGTCTTGAAAGGCTACGAGAAACAGTTAAATCAGAAGTTGATAAGAAGACAAAAAGGTCATGCCTGATATAAATTCCGAAGCATTTCACTGTTGCGTAAAATGTATTTTCAGTAAAAACACGCGAGAAGTCGCATTAAAGTCTCTGTGTTTTCTCGACGTAAAGTCTAAGGAAAGTAGGCCAGAAACGGCAATTTCAGTCTTACTAATCTTGTCTGGTCAGAGCTCCTGAGTATCGGTCCCTGCTATACGATCAGTTGATAGGAGCCTCCACGTGAAGCTAACATAACCGAAAAAATAAAGTCTAGGTTGATTCCTTTGACAAAAGGAGTATAAACTCTAGACGCCAACGCCCTTTTTCTCAGCCAGGTCGTGCTTCAGTTTAGCATAACGGCGAAGCGGTTTGTGAACTACTGCTTGATTTACCTTAGAACACTAAGATGAGGATCAATCCAAGGTCATTAACAGTCTACTTTACCACAGTGACGGTCAGGAATGCAGGATGACCAAAATTGCAGGCAATAACGTCGATTAGCAACCGTGTCTGCGGGTGACGGAAAATAATCTGCTTAAAAGGCCGAAAACCGCAGCGAGGTGGTCACCAACAAAAAGGCGCTAGAGATACTTTCCTCGTCAACCGATCAGACATCTCTGTCAAAACAGTGCAATGGTTCAGTTAGGTTATTAATTCGCACGACGAAACTCCTCCCCGTCGTCCTCGTCGTCATCATCATCATCATCAAATGCAGCAAAAAAACTCCACGTACTTCCAGGTGTGTGATAGATGACTTAAATGTACGTCAGTGGCAGATAAAACGAGGAATTGAACTAAGCGAGTCTACAGTTCGAGGATCCTGATGAATTCAATTTGGAAGATAACAATAAGAGAGTCACAAAGTAGCAGGGTCTTAACGATAAGCATTGGCTGCAAAATCCTGGGTTTCCTGCGAATGACTGAGAAAAATGAATGGGTGATTTAGATGGCTGCTTAGCTGAAACCGTTATTATGGGAATAGCGGCAATATGGTTGGGCTAACGGAAACACCAGGTAGGTTAACCGAAATTCTGATGTGTCGAAGATTTGTTTGACTGGATTAAAAAAGAACCGACACTAAACGCGGCAATTTAAAGAATGGTAAAGATAAAGAACATGAAGTGACCGAAAGTAATGCACAACGCCGGGAAACTTAGCCCGACGGGCGGCCACCAATCAGAACCCAAGAGAAAATTCTAGTCGAAAGCGTTAAGCAAGCGAAAAATGAACGCAAAGCAAGAAGACGGAAGCCGAGCCATAGAAGGCTGGGAGTCGGTTAAGGTTTAAATTCCGTAAAAGTGGTCCAATCTCCGGTAGAGTGGTGTGGGCCCAAAGCGACAGAAGGCCAAAGCCTAGAAAGCATTCGTAGAGCACACAGCATCAATCTACCCCGATGAAGTAGGCGC